ATCCTACATGCAGTCAAAGTGTATCATCTGACAAGCATAGAGAGAGGCTTTTATATACAAATGGCTGGAAGAATTTCTCCCTTGGAAAAGCATTTTTAAACTAGTAGATACTCCATGCTTATTTCATATGCGCTAGCCAGCTTTTTCCATGGATTCACAGCCTCTAAGAAAAAGTACTGTATACACAAATGTTAAACACATTATTAGGCTTTCTCTCAGGTTCTGTTCTTTTACTTACAATATGTAGTTCAAATTTGAAAGAAATAGCTGTCCTCTATCGTCACATACATTCATTTTGAAGAGTTATCCTGCTATTGATTGAAAAAGAGATGTATGCAGGTTTACAAAAATCATTACAAGTTTGTACAACTCTGGAATATTAAAAAAATTATAATAATAAATAATAAATAAAGTTTAATAAAGTTTGAATGTCATGCATGTGAATGTCTATAAATGGATAAATGAATTTGCCTTTACTTAAGACAAATATCTTATTTACATAACCTTGAGTTTTTCACAACAGATGGTACAATTAAATGGAAAGCAGAGACGCTATGGGAATGCGGTGCCTTTGAATCTAGATAGACTGAAACAAGTGGCAGAGATGGAGTGTTCGGATGAGAGGCAAAGATTACAGAGCTGTTTTGATTGAAGCTTCTCTTCTCTGCTGGGATGGCATCACATGCCATAGGCCATTCGGAACTATTTAAATGCATAGAAAAGCATCAAGAACTGTTGCCACTATACAATTTTGTGAACCTCACATGGTGCAGAAATCCCAGAAGCATTAGCAAAATCTGGTCCTGAATATGAAGAGCGTGTTAGCCAATGTGCTCTTTAGAAAATTGCATTTCCCCTTTCATGTTAACTCTTATTGTGATTCTCTTTAGGGTTGCTTGTTTTGAAGATGCTCATCTCATTTTAAAGCACCTTGACATAGTTAAATGACCATTTCTTAATCCTGTCTCTTGTATTCATTCACACTTTTCTTTCCCGTTCCCTGT